TGATATAGCGCTTTTCACGTCGGGAGGACGTCCCAAAGCGTTTCACAGAACACACTGTAAAGTGAATTGACTGTATATTTGTGGGCGAACGCGGCAGCCAATTGCGCACAGCAATGTCTCACAAACAGTCGTGGATTGAAAATCACCAATTTATTATTGTTTTTGGTTTTGGAGGGATTATTATTAGGCGTGTGGAGTAAGGAAACTTGCCCAAGGTCTCACCCTGTGCCTGGAATTGAACTCAGGTCTCTCACTTGCAAAGCGAGTGTCATTCTCACCATAATTTACAGTTTGCAAAATTACAAGATCAGCTTGGATGAAGGAGACCCTTCAATCCATCTGATCTCATCCTTCCAGAATGCCCACCCTACCATCTTCTCATCACAGCATCAAGTGTCCTGGCCTCAACAACCCTTCCTAGTTATTTGTTCCAGTCATTACTCAACTTCTGAGAAAGGAAATACTTGCTAGTCTGTCCTGAAGATGCCGTTTGCAACTCTAAACCCATGTCCTCGTATTGCACTGCCTTGATGCATCTGAAAGTATTGTTCTGGGTTTACTTTTTCATTTAAAATTGTGCTCCAATGTCTTCTGCCTTAATGATTTCCAGCCGCATCAACATAGATCTGGGAAGATATTGCAGGGTTGTCCTCTTCGACAGGAGTAATGGTGCAGAGACGGAAAAATACTAAATACGATATGTAATATATTCTGAATATAAAAAATATTATTAATATTGTTAAATATTATAAATAGCATATCTCTCCCTTCACTCAGTTAGCATTGGCTTGTTTCATGTCCCTGCCCCACAATCAGTAGGCAGGCTTTCAGCTTTTCTACTCCCGCTCTCTGAAACTCCAACCCTGGACTCCTCCTACTCGTTGTCTCCCTAACCTTGTTCAAGGTTCAACACCTACCGCTTTGATGCATTTGGTCATCTTCCTTTCACCACCCTCAGACTTTCTCTCCTTCTGGCCTTCCACCCTACCCAACTACTTGACCAGCCCATTTCTATCTTGCCTTTTCTTGCTACAGTTCTGTAATGCATTATTGCAAATCAACTTTGCTCGCATCGCTCCCTCCATTCCCTACTCGAACCCCTCCTGTCTAATTTTTGCCCTGCACAAACACAGCGCTCATCAAAGTCAAATGGGTTTCCCTCTCTGTTTGTACCTTCCTGTCCTCCCTGACCCATCCCCTGTGTTCAACACAATCGATCATGCTATCCTTTTCCACCATCTCGCCTCCCTCATTCATCTTAGTGGGACCACACTCACCTGGTTCAAGTACTACTTAACCAACTACCATCACTTTGTCTCCGCAAACATTTTTCCTCTTGCTCCCGCCCAGTCATATAAGGTGTACTTCAAGGCTCCATCCTTGGCCCTTATTTACATGCTCCTTCTCAACAATGTCATTGCAGACACGGGTCAGATTCCACATGTATGCAGATAACACACAAATCAACTTCTCCTCCATCTGTGACTCCAGGTTTATTTGCTTATCAGATATCAAGGCTGAATGAGTGTTAACTTCTTGCAGTTGAATGTTGACAAGACAGAAGCTATACTCTTTGGCTTCTGTCAACATCTTCTCCGGCCTGTCCCTCAGATGATCTGAATACGTGTGTAACCTAAGTGTCAGGTTTGATCCCCAGCTGTCCTTCCTGCCCCACAACCAGTCCCTGACCAGGATCACTTTTCTTCACTTCCATCACACTGCCCGCCTCTGACTGTACCTCACACCCAGCACAGCCGAAACCCTCATCCAGGCTTTCATTGCCTTCCGTCTCAATTGTGCCCTTCTCACCGGTCTCCCCAGCTCTACTATCCACAAAATATAATTGATTTAAAACTCCGCCGCCAATATACTCACCTGCACTAAACTCCATACCCCCATCAAACAAATTTCCATGTAGGGAGTCTGACTCCACTGGCTTCCTATCTACGAATGGATCAAGTTCAAGTACCTCACACTTGTCTACAAATCCCTTCATGCCCTGGCACCTCCCTATCTCTCTGACTTGCTTACTCCCTACTCCACTACCTGTCGCATCCACTCAGCTGGCTCAACCTCCTGCTTGTCTCTCATCCCTGCGCTCCACCATCAGCTGCTGTGCTTTCAGCCTCTACACCAAAAAGCTTGGAACTCTCTCCCTCAATCACTCCACCTTGCCTCATCCTTCCGTTTCCAGATCACAACTGACGACCTTCCTCTTTGACTGCTTACGGTCACCTCCCCTCTCCCCCCATGTCGGCATCAGACTCCGCCACTTGTAAGCATTCCGAGATGCTATCCTAGTGAAGGGTGCTATATAAATGCAAATTGCTATTGTTGCTTTTGTTATCTTTCCCCTCCACACCCCTTCATTCCACAGCCAATACTGTTAAGTGCTTTGTCCCAACGTGAAAGACACTATATAAATGTAAATTTGTATTTAATCCGACCAAGTTAGGAAATGGCTCCTCTGAAGGAATTGTTGTGTATATAGACTGTAAAATGAAGCATTTCTATCAACATGACTTATTTGTCATATATTTAAGAGTAGGTAAGGGCACGACGAGCCAAACAGCCTCCTTCTGTGCTGTAAAATTCTATATGACTCTAACTGGCTGAAACAGAAATGGGCGAGAGGATCCTTAATATTTGTGACAGCTGGTTGGAGCTTTAGTTGTGTGAGCCTTCCCAGAATGCACAAAATAAATTGGCCTTTGCTAAAAAGGAATATTCTTTAATAGCTTTTATCTCTCACTTTCAAGCATCTGTCTCTATTGGTAATATTTACAAATTCATCTTTCTGATGCAACTGTCACAGGCTTTAATGCTTTTGGATAGATTGAGTCGCAAAGTGCAGAGAAGTGTAGTTATCTTTCAAAGGCAAACTGGATGGAATTGAAGCAGAAACTGCCAAGAAGTAGATGTGTGGAGTATAAACAACAGCACATACTTTTTAGGCTGAACGGCTTGTTTCGGTGATGTAGATTCTATGTATGTAATTCCTCTACCTGACGACTCAAGAAATCATGTCAGGGCTGTATTTCAGAACAGTGACGTTACAAAATATGATGTGTGATATGATAATTATCACAGATGAAAAGAATCGCATCCCATAACTGCAGTTTTCACCCCATAGTATTAGCAGTACAGTGCACATACATATTATGCACAATATAGGAGATGGGAGTAGGGTGTTCCATGCATTAGTTGTCAATGCCATAGGCATACTCTTGGCTATTTAATAACCTGGATGCTGATAATGGATTATACGGGATTGGAACAAAGTCCCAATAATAAGCTTGAACCCACAATCTTCTAACTTGGAGACAAGAGTGCTACCAACTGAGCCAGGCTGATACCATTATGTCTGTTGCAATGTTATCACCCAATTTCAACTCATTACGGGTTGCCTCTGTGGGGACTCACTTCTGAATGTGAAATGGGTGTGGACTCCAGGAGGTGCTGAACCTGCTGGTTAAGGAAAAGGAGAATGTTTAATATACTAATGCAAGTTGTTCTTGTTTCTAAAATGCGGCTAACCAAAGGGATTCAACATGCACTTTCTCATCTTAATCCTGTAACTCAGTGGTTAGAACACTCGCCTCGCAAGCGAGAGACCTGGGTTGGATTCCTGGGCAGGATGAAACGTTGGGCAAGTTTCCTTACTTCACACACACGCCTCTGTTTGCCTAGCAATAAGTAGGAACTCAGTTGTTAATTGATTGGCGGATCGCTTTTCTAGGGGTAATAAAAAAAAGAATAATAATTTGGTCACTCAATCCACGACTGTTTATTTGTTTGTGTGACATGGTTGTTTGCAATTGGCTGCCGTGTTTTGCTCACAAAATATACATACAATTCACTTTACAGTATATTCTGTGAAGCGCTCTGAGACGTCTGCAAGATGTGATAAGGTGCTATATCATATGCAAGGATTATTATTATTAATGTAAGTGCGTTAAAATGTAAGGCCGGATATTATTCCATTATGCAGTCATGAATATATGTATTTTTACTGGTTTTAATCATATTACAGTGTTTGGAATGAATCAATAGTACAAATTTTCTAATTAAGCAAATCCTGTTGTGACTTGAAACAATGTCGTGGACAAATGTGTTTCTGATATACAGTTTTTACTATAATACAATTAACATTTATATTGCGCCTTTCACATTTGGAGGTCATCTCAAAGTGCTTCACACTGCTGCCTGGGTGCCTGAGCCGGGGAGGAGGAGGGGGCTTAAGTGTGGAGTGGGACCTGAAGACCCTGAAGCTGACCCCACTGAAACACTTCTTAACGTTTGAAGAGCCCAAGATTATCTGACAGTTCCTCAAAGTGACAAAATGGGCAAAATAACCAGAGGGGAAAGAGATGACGAAAATTGTTTTTACGCATCGAGTTGTTATGATCTGGAATGCATTACCTGAAAGGGTGGTGGAAGCTGGTTCAATAATCGCTTTACAAAAGGAAATTGGATATATACTTGAAAATGAAACATTTGCAAGGCTATAGGAAAGATCGGGGGAATGGGACTAATTGGATAGATCTTTCAAAGAGCTGGTACAGGCACGATAGGCCAAATGGCCTCCTGTGCTGTAATATTCATTGATTCTATGATATAGAATCATATCTCATTCTTTGAACAGTGGACATGAGTCTCATTGCTTTCACTTGTGCTGCATCTAGAGCGTGGACTGCTCTATATGCTATAGCAACCAGAACTGTACTTCTGTATTTCAGCCCACCATCAAATTGCCTTTATCAGTTCACACATTTCCCAAATTGTACTACGGTCTATATGCATTGTATGTTTGCATTGTATTCTCCTGTGTTGCTATTGTTGCTGTTGCATGATTTTCAGTGAAGTCTTTCACAACGTAAATGGTAATTTTTAAATCAGCATTTTATTGAGGTTTGCTGCTCAGAAACTGAACAGATTTTTTCCATCCAATGTTGAATAGAACATCTCATCTCACTGGTAAACATTCCCTTTTTTTACAGTATAAGCAAGTGGAGCAGTACATGTCCTTCCACAAGCTGCCTGCGGAAATGCGCCAGAGGATTCATGATTATTATGAACATCGGTACCAAGGCAAGATCTTCGATGAAGATAACATTTTGGGAGAGCTGAACGATCCCCTCAGGGAGGTAACAACATGCATTTTGAATGATATTCTCACTTTTGTGGGGTTGCTTTTATCCACTTTGTATCCGCTCTTGATTCTTGGAGTGAAAGTCAGACAATCAGTTTCATAACTAAAACCTCACTAGTTGTGGATTCAAGCCCCACATTGGTACTTTAAGCTCCAATGCTTTGCTGGCCATTCTCTGCATTGTTAGAGGTGCTATCCTTCGGATGTGACGTCAAACCAGTTCAGGTGGGAGCTAGAAAGATTCCACGGCATTATTTGAAAAGCAAAGGGAGTTTCTCCTCGTGTTCTGCCAACAATCCTTCAGATACATTTGATCATCTTGTTTGCCTACAAATGCACAGTCAGTACAATTTACAGAAAATTCTGTGAAGTGTTTTGACACTAAAAGCATTATATCAAATCTAAGGATGATTATAATAGTTATATACTTCTGGACTTCTGCACTCCTGGCCTCCAACATTCCTGCTGAAACTCTGGTCCACGCCTTTATCACCTCAAGGCTGGACTATGGGAACTCTCTCCTCGCCGGCCTTCCCGGCACCTCCCTCCACAAGCTGCAGGTCATTCAGAACTCTGCAGCTCGTGTACTGTCCCGCACCAGGCTTCAGGACCACATCACTCCCACCTTCGCTCGCCTCCACTGGCTTCCCATCCCCCAGAGGATCAAATTCAAGATCCTCATCCTCACCTACAAGGCCATTCACGGCCTCGCTCCCTCCTACATCTCCGACCTATTATCCCCCTACTTACCTGCCCGTACCCTCTGTTCCTCTGGCTCCGGTCTGCTCCACATCCCTCGCCCCAACCACCCTACCATCGGTGGCTGGGCCTTCAGCCTCTCAGCCCCTAGGCTCTGGAACTCCATCCTCCAGTGCCTTCTCCTTGCTTCCTCCCTTTCCTCCTTCAAGGCCGTTCTGAAGACCTCTTCTCTTTGACCGAGACTTCAGCTCCCCTCTCGACTCTCTTCCCCCTTCTCGCTCCCTCCCATCCCTCCCCTCACCCTGACCATTTCCCCCCTCCTCGCTCCCTCCCCTCCCCTCACCCTGACCATTTCCCCCCTGCTCGGGTCATGACCCAACTGTGCAGCGCCTTGGGACGTCCTCCTGACGTGAAAGGCGCTTTATAAATGGAATCTTGTTGTTGCTGTTTAACCATGCCTTCAGCTCCCCTCTCAACTCTCTACCCCCTCCTCGCTCCCTCCCTTCCCTCCCCTCACCCTGACCATTTCCCCCCTGCTCGGGTCCTGACCCAACTGTCCAATGCCTTGGGACGTCCTCCCGACGTGAAAGGCGCTCTATAAATGAAATCTTGTTGTTATTGTTGATTTCTCCCAGTCTCTCACATTCCTGGACTCTTCCATTTAATTTATCATGTTTCAGGCTATTCTGACAAGCTGCCAGTGCCTTCATGTTAATATAGCCAATTTGCACATAGCAATGTCCCACAAAAAAGCTGTGAAGTGAATGACCAATTTTATTTGGGGGGTTGTTGGCTAGGACAGCAAGAGAAATTCCCTGTTCTTTTCAAATAGTGTCATGGGATCTTTAATGTCTGCCTGAACAGACAAAGGATTTAACTTCTCATCTAAAGAAAGGAACCACGAAAAACACAACGCTCCCCAGCCTTAGACTAGATAAGTTCAGGGTCCCAATTTGGGGCTTGAACCACCATCATTTTGCCTCGGAGGTGAGAATGGTAACTTGACTTTAGGTGTAGAGAGGAAAAGCTTTTTTGTGAATTTGAGATATGTTTGTTTACAAATTGCGATGCATTATGTACCAAGTATGTCCAATAGCTGGGTAGACCTCACTGAATCTCAATTAACCCTCAACCCTGAGACACACAGAGCATGTCCACAATGCTCTCTTGTGGACTATCAACATGTCCTGGTGGGTGTGTTGAAAGGAATGACACAACAAGCCAACTTCTGAGAGCGCTACGTAGGTGACATGTTTATGAGTACTAAGGCTTAAGGAGGTGATGATGAGGCTTTGTCAACCCAGCTGTTTTGGAAAGGTTTGTGGCTAATATTCCTTTATTTCAATGAGTTGCCTTGCCTTTATTTCAATGAGTTGCCCCAACCGCCATGGTGGTAGTGTAGCCCTTACCTCAAGGACACCACTTGCCCTATCCCCCTACTCCTCTGGCTCTTTCCCCTCTTTTGAGCACCTCACCCTCCTATCTCTCACTCAAAATCCTCCTCCTCTACCGGCCCCCTAAAACCTCTCCCACCTTCATCTCCGATACTTCTACCCTACTAACATCTCTCTGCCTCTGCTCTGATCGCCTCATCATCCTGGGTGACGACTTCAACCTGCACTTCACCCCCTCCTGCTCCATCTCCTCGGACTTCTCCTCCCTGCTCTCCTCGCGCAACCTCTCCCTCCACATCAACTCCTCCACTCACAGTCAATGCCACCCACTCAATTTGGTGATCACCCGGGCCTCAGTGTCTCGGATGTCACCATTACCGACAAGGCCGCCTCCGATCACCACTTCATCTCCTTCACCACCTCCACCCCCTTCACCACCTCCACCAGACCCACCACCATCTTCTACCGCCCCTAGAAGAAGTTACCCCCACAATCCCTACCGCTGCCTTGGAATCCTCTGAACTCCTCTCCCTCTGGCCTTCAACTCTCACTGACCCCTCTTCTTCTCTCACCCTCCTCCACAACACCCTCTCCTACATACTCGACAATCTTGCCCCCATCACCTCCTGTACTGTCTCTTACTCTCGCTCCTGCTCATGGTTCACCACCCACCTCCGCTCACTGAAGAGCCAGGTGCAGGCTGCTGAACACACCTGCCTCAAATCTGGCCTAACAGTCCACCGACAAAGCTGACTGGACCTCCTCAAAATCTACCGCTCCACTCTAGCCTCGGCCAAGTCATCCTTCTACTCCAGGATAATCCTGGAGGCGAAGAACAACCTCAGGCTTCTGTTCTCTACCACATCTACCATGTGGAGTCCTGTAGCTCAGTGATTAGAGCACTCGCTTTGCAAGCGAGAGACCTGAGTTCAATTCTAGGCAGAGCGAAACCTTGGGCAAGTTTGCTTACTCCACACGCCTAATAATAATCCCTCCAAAACAAAAACAATAAAATTGGTCATTTTCAATCTATGATTGTTTGTGGGACATTGCTGTGCACAATTGGCTGCCGCGTTCGTCCACAAATATACAGTCAATTCACTTTACAGCATATTCTGTGAAGCGCTTTGGGACATCTAGAAGACGTGAAAAGCGCTATATCAAATGCAAGGATTATTATTATTATTGCATCCCGACTCCTCCATCCCCCCCGCTACCCCGCGCAGGTCATCTCCTCCAACCTTCACTGCGAGGAGATGCTGGATTTCCTTGAATTCAAAATCAAGGGAATCCGCTCCGCGGTTACTGCCCCTCCAACTTCCACCCACCCCCCACCCCGTCCCTCCCACACTCCGACTCCTACCCATCCTCCCCTACACACCTTCGAACCCATTTCCCCACCCTCTGTCACCAACCTCATCCTGTCCCAAAACCCACCACCTGCTCCCTTGACCTCATCCCCACTCCACTCCTTATCTCCCAGCTCCACCTCCTTGCCCCACTTCTCATAGAGATCATCAACCTGTAGCTCTCTGGCTCTGTTCCCATTCCCCTAAAAACTGCCACCATCACTCCCACTTTGAAAAACCCCCCCTTGATGTGTCGCAGCTATCAAGCTACCGGCCCATCTCCAACCTCCCCTTCCTGTCCAAGGTTCTTGAAAGAGTCGTCGCCTCACAGCTGCGCTCTTTCCTCTCCACCCATTCATTATTCAAACCCCTTCACTCGGGTTTCTGTGCTGCCCATAGCACACAAACCGCCCTGGTCAAGGTCACTAATGACATCTTGACCATCTGCGACCAGGACTCTCTCTGCCTCCTCGACCTATCAGCCACATTCGATACGGTCGACCACGCTATCCTCCTCCACCACTTCTCCTCCCACCTCAACCTTCAAGGCCCTGTCCTTGAGTGGTTTAGGTCGTACCTCTCCCACCGTCTTCATTTTGTTTCCACAAACGGCTTTTCCTCCAGCCCCCTCACTGTCTCGTGCAGTGTCCCTCAGGCCTCTCTCCTCGGTCCCCTCCTCTTCACCCTCTTGGTGACATCATCCGCAGACATAGGGTTAACTTCCACATGTATGCGGATGACACCCAACTCTACCTTTCCTCCTCTACCCTCAACTCCACGACCACCGATGTCCTGACAGCCTGCCTGTCCGACATCGAGTCCTGGACGAGAGACAACTTTCTTCAGCTCAACGTGCGCAAAACTGAGGCCCTCCTGATTGGCTCACGTCAGCGCCTCCGCACCTCAGGCGCTGACACCATCAGCATCCAAGGCTGCACTCTCCACCTCTCAAAGCCAGTCAGGAACCTCGGCGTTCTGTTCGACCCTGAGCTGTCCTTTCTTCCTCATATCCGCGCCACAACTGGCACCGCCTTCCATCACCTCCGGAATATCGCCAGATTAATGCACTACCTCACCCCTCACGCTGCTGAAACTCTGGTCCACGCCTTTATCACCTAAAGGCTGGACTATGGGAACTCTCTCCTCGCCGGCCTTCCCGGCACCTCCCTCCACAAGCTGCAGGTCATTCAGAACTCTGCAGCCCGTGTACTGTCCCGCACCAGGCTTCGCGACCACATCACTCCCACCCTCGCTCACCTCCACTGGCTCCCCATCCTCCAGAGGATCGAATTCAAGATCCTCATCGTCACCTACAAGGCCATTCACGGCCTTGCTCCCTCCTACCTCTCCGACCTACTATCCCTCTACTTACCTGCCCGTACCCTCCGTTCCTCTGGCTCCGATCTGCTCCACATCCCCCGCCCCAACCACCCTATCATCGGTGGCCGGGCCTTCAGCCTCTCAGCCCCGAGGCTCTGGAACTCCATCCCCAGTACTTTGCTTCCTCCCTTTCCTCCTTCAAGGCCGCTCTCAAGACCTTTCTCTTCGACCGT